TATTACATTTAACACATGTATAAATCAATTCATCCTCTATAAGCATATAATAATTCTGTAATCTGACATGCTTATATTTCACCACTGGAACATGATTTAAACTATAAAATCATTCTCGACAAAATTGCTAAAATAATGCTGAACAATTTTAAACCTGCACATTTAAACAGTACACCAACTTGTGCAAGAATTCTATACTATTCAAACTAGAATACAAGGTGATTAATTATGCATTAACAAGGCTCTTGGGAGTTTTAATTTGCTCTTAGACACCTCTAAAAACCTCCACTAAAGCTTCAAATTAAACTGGAACCTTCAAAATCCAAGTACCCAAGCAAAACCCTCGCTAAAACTTAAAAAAAATGGAAAAACCACATTGAAGCTGGCTCCAAAAACATGTGGAGCCGCCTCCAATAACATGTGGAGCTGGCTTCACTTCAATGGAGACACCTCCATTGAAGGGTGGAGCCACCTCCACTCCTCCCAGCCTCCGTCTTCTCCGACGCTGGCAATTTTCTAACATTCTGATCGTCTGTCCTCCATTCTTAAAGCTCCTAGGTGTCTAATACTAAGTCTAGTGTGTTCCAGAATTAATTAAACTCTTAATTCATCAACCAACATCAATTAGACTACAACTCATGCAAGAAGGACCTAAACCGGAACAACTGCTCATTCATGACCATACTGTTTCAAGTGATCACCCATGCGAACTAGATTAAGTTTAATATTTTCCCAAGGTGTTCCAACGCTGATTAAATCCTTAATTCTTTAATTGACATCAATTAAAACATAAAGTAAAACAGGAGTTACACAAGAAAGAGTTCAAAGTAAACAATAACTAACTTATAAACACGTTCAGGTTTAATTATCTCAGACATGGAAACCCAGTTTAATTTTAAACCTTTATATATTCCTGGAATTGTATTAGAGATGCAAAGAACATGAGCCTAAGGAAGAGAGTTAGGAATAGAGTTAGGATTAGAACTTGCCTTTGAGATTTCGGTGAAAAATCCCAACGTCGTCTTCTTAAATTTCTCCACCGAACTACTGTAATCCTCCTCTGTTCCTTATCTGCCTCCACTGGCGTGAATAGGGTTTTCTAAAAACCCTAGGCAGAACTTATTACGTATATTTATAAGTCTATACAAAACCTAAATTCAATCCAAACCCTACAATGAATCTAACCGGCCCATAGAAAATCCTAACTAAATCTACGTCGGCTACCAAGACTTGACTTCTAAAACAAAACCCTAAATTAAATGTTAACTAAACCCTAATGTAAACCAATTAAGCATTTAAAAGAATTAAAATACAAAAATATAATTAAATAAACATTTAAATAAATTAAAACACCATAATTCAAACAAGTCACAATTAAGTCAAATATCAAGCAAATAAACAAATAATTTCAAATAAATTCAAATATTCAAATACACAAGCAATTAAACATTTTAAATTATTAAAAATGCAATTAAATAATTAACCAAAATACCAGGACTATCCTTTTTAAAATTAGGGGTATTACATGAACGCTTGAGAGAAGAATGAATTATGTGAGAGATACAGAATGTGGTGCAAGTGAGAGAAGAGGCGTGGTTTAGTGGAAAACGAAAGGATTATTACTACGCAATTAATGGTTGATAAGACTGTTTAGTGTGATCGGCATTTTTTGGGAAATCCACTCCTAATATCACTCAAGAGATTATATGATGTGTGCCAAGTTCCGATGTAATGGGTGTATTCAAATTTTGGAAGCCGAAGGGTTAAAATGGCTACCAAAATTGGGGGGCATTGTTGACACCCATTTTGGTAATTGGGTTTAGGCTCCAATTGGGTTTGATAAATAGTGATAAGGTGTTATTGGCCAAGAGCATATGGACCTGATGAATGATGATGTTTTAGGTACTCGGGCTGCACAAATATTAGGCTAAGGGATGCAGTGATAAGTTCGGGCTTGGAAACATGGATTTAAAGCATTAGATTTAGGTTGCAATTGTGATAACATTGATATAATGATATGGAAGTGGGCTACAGGTGATACAGTGACATGGCAAAGCTACAGGGGGTCATTGATCAGATAGGAGTATTTGTGAAATATTTTTGAAGTACTTTATGTTAGATAAGATTTATATGTTTACCAGATTTTAGTTAGGAATTAATATTTATCTAGGAACCTTAATTTCAATTTAAATTGAGTAATGAGATAGGCTTTTATTGTAATTAGAGTACTTATTGGTAGGAATTTGTTTCTAATATTTTCTATAAATAAACAAAAGGGCATGCTGAGAAAAAGGTCCAGCACCTTCAGAATCTTTATTATTATTTGTTTGCTTTCTCAAGCTTTTCCAAGAATAGCATCCTTACTATTTCTTCTTTCGTTCCTTCTATATTTCTCAATCTCTCGTTCTATCTATTTCTCTATTTCTTTCTATCTCTCTCTTTCTCTCTCTTTTCTTGCTATATTTATTTTTCTCCATTTTCTATTCTCTTGATATGTTTCTATAAATTATCACAGAAAAGTCCTTTTAACTAAGGCATTTTTGAACTCAAAAGAGAAATTTTATTGTTCCATTTTCCTCGCATCGTCTGAAAGTCAACCTTTTCAAAGGGACTAACATTGACTGTTTACAATCGAACCACACAAGTGGTTTTAGCACGCCTGTTTTACATCAAATTAAGATCGGCTCTAACCGGCCGATTTTAGGGTCAACAGGTAAAGAGTCCAATATACAGATACATTGGACTAATTTTATATAAATAAAAACTAATGTATGTCATCATGACATTATGAATATATGATGTGATCCTCACTCACATAAGTTAGTTGAACTTGTTTTACTTTCAAACTCCAAATCATTATCATATCATCTTTATGGCATGATATTGCAAAAGGATTGGAATAATTAAACCTATCCAAATTTCGTATAGTAAAAGAGAAATACTCCACAACTTTAGAGAGAAGTAACTTTCCAAACTTTTTGCTTAGCATATATATTAACAAATTTCATTGTTAATAGGACACATGGTATGCCAATTGTCACACCATGTGTTTGTATCATTCCCAATAATCTAGAGAGATTTAATATTTTCAGGTTTGATTTAGCTTATTTTTAGGTTTGATTTAGCTTGTTTACAGAAATTTTGATTGCAGTTACATTATATTATATTGTATTTTATAAAAGGGAAGGATAAAATTTTCATTTTATAAAATATGTTCAACAGGTTCGGGAAAGAAAATGTTAGAGGTATTGTTGAGTATTGTATCAATTCTTAGAGGATGTCAAAGTAATAAACGCTAAATGATCTATTCATATATAATTTATTCAAAGTATATTTTACTCTAAATTTTAATATATCATTCGGATCACTTTTTCAACAAGTACAAAACATCTACGTTCTCTAAATAAATAGATCTATTCATTTATAAAACATTGACACAATTCACGTCCTTTTATGTGTGTCCTCATAAAGAGCGATTTGCTACCTACAAACCTATAGGTGGTAATGTATTTATGGAAAATAATATTTCTTGTGATGTTATAGAAATTGAAACAATCAAAATCAAAACAACAAATGGTTTGCTAAGAACTCTTATCAAAACAACAAATGGTTTGCTAAGAACTCTAACAAATGTACGTTTTATTCAAAGTGTTAAAAGGAATGTGATCTCTGTGGGAATATTAGATTCCAAGGGTTGTTGGTGTAAAATGAAAAATGGATTGATGAAGATTATAAGAGGACCACGTGTTATACTTTTGGGAAGGAAGGTTAATAATCTCTATATTTTTTTGGGAAATACTATACTCGGTGGAACAATTGCAAAGACAAAATGGAAGCCTATTTCAAGATCTACTAGATTGGAGGATCAAAAATAGCAAGAGAATGAAGAAGTCTTGGCAATTGCAAAAGTACCAACCTTTTATTCCAGAAGCAAAAAGAGTTCGAATTGGTCAATTTAAAAAACTCAAAGTTCATGCCCCCAGGAGATGAGATATTCTTAAGTTGAGCCTTGTCTTGACACAGATGATATCAGGCTAATAATATTGCCTCTATATATATTTGGAGCAATAATTTTTTTTTCCTCAAATAAGGATTTGGGGAAATAAGTTGCCTTAATGCATAACAAAGAATTCTTGTGGGCATTGAATTTGTTGCAATGGTAAAATTGTTGCTTTCTCCTCTTTGCAATTGAATTTTTTTTCACATCTGCAAACTTGTGCTTGTAATTTCATATTATTACTGCGTTTAGTACATTAATTATTCACATCATTTTCTTGCATTTGGTTCTGCTCCCATTTTTTTATTCTCTTTTCAACAATAGAAGCCTACATTTTGAACCATCCTCCAATAGGACCAATCACGACACCTGCAACAACACATTTGATCACTCCATATATGTTTAGCCCAATAACAATATCAGATATTCAAACAAAACAAGAAAGGTATATTACACCGACCTTCTTTGAGATTTGGGCAAATTATACACTGATAGATCACTCGGTATTTATTACTTTGACCTTGCTTAAATATGCTGGTGGCTAGAGAGTGACTCTAAATGTGAAAATTAAGTAATGCCCTCATATTATAATAATATTTTAAATTACATTTTATATAAGGGATGGGCAAAATTATCATTTTATAAAATTTGGTCAACATATTTGCGGGAAAGAAAACGTTAGGATGTCCTAAAGCACACAAGCCAAATTTCTGGGAAGGTCAAAGTAATAAACTTTAAACGATCTACCCATGTGTGATTTGTTGTTCAAATCTCGTGAGAGGCCTGTGTAATTTACCCAAACAAAAAACATAATAGAAGAAAGCAAAAGGATATATCAACAGAGTAAGGGACTAATAGTTACAAGAGAGAACAGGTTAGACACTGTTAATGATAATGCAAATTGCTACCAATTGTGTGTGCTATACAAAAGTTCTTGAACCTCTGCATTGTAGGTGTAAAATTTTTACAAATAAAGAAAACCAATAAATTCACACCAAAATACTAAAATGCACAATGAATCTTGTTTATTGATTAGGCTATGCCTCAAACAGAGTATAAAAATGGATTGCTTTCCCACTATATATATAATACATTACATGCTTACAATTTAATCAAGATAGACATTATTAAATATACCCACTAAAACACAAATATTCACATAAACATTAGTCTATTTCAAAAGGTCATACAGTTCATGCCTCTAGGAGATGAGAAATTCTTAAGTTGAGCCTTGTTATGATAGAGTTGATATCAGCAGGCTAATAATATTACCTCTATATATATTTGGAGCAATAAGTATATATATATATATATATATATATATATATATATATATATATTTTCAAATAAGGATTTGGAGTAATAAGTTTCCTTAACGCACAACAAAGAATTCTTGTGGGCATTGAATTTGTTGCAATGGTAAAATTGTTGCTTTCTCCTCTCTACAATTGAATTTTTTTCAACATCTGCAAACTCGTGCTTGTAATTTCATATTATTATCGTGTTTAGTTAATTAATTCTCCACATCATTTTCTCTGACGATCGGTTCTCCGCCCCATTGTTTTATTCTCTTTTCTGCAATAGAAGCCTGCATGTTGAACCAGATTAAAGTCTTAATTGGAATATGTATTGGTTTATAAGAATCAATAATATTTAAAAATTTAAAATTTAAAAAAAATTGAAAAGTATGGACATGGTTTGGCTCCATGTGAATGTAATTGCTACCTCTTTATTCCAGTTGGTTCTGTAAACCATACAGAGCAGTACACTAGTTTGTAATACTGTTCCTATCAGCATGCCATACCAAATCCCCTGGAAATAAATTAATAAAATAAATAAATAATCAATGCTAGGACCAAATAATCAATTAAAATAACAAGTACTTCTGTTAATATATGCTTTATTCTGACTTATAGAAAATATTATATTGATATGTATAGAAGAATCACCCTGACACCCATTTTGAGTTTGTAGCCCATTATGAGGCCCATAGGAATGCCAAAAACATAGTAGCACACAATATTTACGTAAGCAACAAAAGCTTGCCATCCACCTCCAATAGCCACCCCTGCAACAACACCACATTACATTTTCAAACAAAACAAAAAGGGTTCGAGATTTGGGCAACTTACACATCGGTACACCATTTAACGTTTACTACTTTGACCTCTCATAAATATATTTATTGGTGGCCGGAAAGTGACTCTAAATGTGAAAAGTCAGTAATGTCCTTATATTATAATAATATTTTAAATTACATTTATATTAGGAAATGATAAAATTTGGTTTAACATATTTGCTGGAAAGAAAATGATATGGTGTCATTAAGCACACTCCCAAATCTTTAGGAAGGTTAAAATAATAAATTTTGAACTGTCTACCCATGTATAATTTGTTCAAACCTCATAAGAGGCCCGTGCAATTTACCCAAACAAGAAACATAATAGAAGAAAGCAAAAGGATATATCAACAGAGTAAGGGCTAATACTTACCAGAGAGAACAGGTTGAACACTGTTAATGACAATGCAAATTGCTAGCAATGGTGTGAGCTCATACACAAGTTTTTGAACCTCTGCATTGTTGGAGAACAAGGAAGGGTACACTCTTCGACTGATTAGAAGAGCGATGGAGGGGACGAGACCAATCAGAAATGCAGAAACCACTGCCACCACCACTGAAAATTTTGCGGTTCTTGGATGCACCGCCCCTAATTCATTTGACACCCTTACACTGCACATATTTTTGTCAGATTTGAGAAAAAAAATTCTTATTTTTCATTCACGTTTTAGTTTATGAGTAGTAATAATGTGAAGCTTATGTTTCTGGATTTAACCTTATGGCTGCGTTGCATCCAAGTGCCACAGTCATTACCCAAAACTGTATGTTTATGCTGCAATTTCAAACATTCGAAAAACACAAACAACTTAAATACTAATATTAGTAATTCTCTACACAAAATTAACATTATACACTTCACCACTCGGCCAATAGCCCTGGTATAACCTCCTCTATCCCTTTAAATACGAGGTGAGGGATTCGAGAGGGGACGAACCTATACACTTCACCACTTGGCAATAGCCCAACTGGAATAACCTCTATCCCTTTAAATACGAGGTGAGGCGGACCCAGAAATGCATAATGGGATAGGCGAATCTATTATGGGATGAACTAGTACTACTAAATTTTATTATTTTTGAACTGGGCTAAAATTATCTCTATTAAAAATAAAAATAAAAATTTGGAGTGGGCTCAAGCCCACCCCTGGATCGAGCGAGTATTTGTGGGTGTGTGTAAGAGTATTTACCAAAAACAAAAACGAAGTAAAGTGTAAGAAATACCCCTTACATAAAAATTGTGCACAATACACTCCTCCTGTTTAGTAGGAGCATAACCCCTCAATATTTCCAAGATATGTGCAAATTGCACACTATTATATGTTGACAGTCCCAATTTTTTTAAAAAAATCTCAAAGTACTCTTTTTTTTGTTTTGTCTTATGGGCATTTTAGGTATTTCAATTTTTTTTTTTTTTTAAATGCCCTTATTTGCTCAATTTGAAAAATTTAGAGGTTTTTTTTTTAGACATCAGTGGGTTTTCCCATATTTTGTATATGTAACAGGCTTTTTTTGCACTTTAAACCAAAAAAAAGAGGAGGAAAAGATATATATTCCAAGTAAGAAATCCAGCACAGAGTACTCACCATATAGACAGAGCATCCACTGAAATTCGTGCATTCTTCATGTATCCAGCAAAGAGCATTAGTGCAACAAAATACCACACTTCTAAGCTGTGCAATATTTATACGAAAATGTTAGAAATAAACCTAGACTTAGAGAAGAAATCAAATTTGAATTCTTTTTAATTATATTACGTTTAATAAACTTATGTAGAAAGCATAACATAAATATAAATACCTTTTATATAAGTTTTAAGTAACAAACTTAGTGTAATATATATATAGACACACACACACACACATACATATATACTACCAATATAAAACTATAGGTATTATAGTGTTGGATGTTTTACAAAAACAAAAAATCACATAGATGTAATGAGAATGTTAAAAGTTACCAGAGAAGATAAGTTTACTAATTTAATTGTGAGGGAGAGACTAGTGATAAAATAAGAAAAAATATATCTAAGTAGAATATATGAAGCATGGATACAAATATGGAGTTATGGACATAAGATACGTGTATGACACTATATGAACACTCAGGAATTTTTTTTTTTTTTAATAAATAGAACACGGATATCGCATCAACACGTAAAAAAAACTATTATATATAGAATAATAGTTTTTACTCATTTTATCCATTTAATTATATATAAAATCACTAATTGGAGCTTAGAACTAAATGTTTGTTTTGTTTATTTTCTTAAATTTTATATTATTTTTCTAATTTACTCTTATTATATTTTAAATTACATTAAATCCAATTCCTTTTAAAATAATAATAAGAATAATAATTACAAAACAATCCCATCATGTCCTGAAAGTATCAAAAATGTGTTATTACTCCGTCTATACCGGGTCCTAGCTGTATCCCAAAAAAAAAAAAAAAAAAAATTACTTAAATTTCAAGATACTTCTAGCCCATGTTCGACACCGCCACGGCACTTTCGAGAGTAGTATGGACTCATAAAATGTAGGCTTGTGACGTGCCGCAATAAAGGATAGACTAGTTTTGCACATAATGTTAAAGATAACTAGATTTACCAAAAATAACATAAAACTAAGTAATTAAAAATAACCTCAAAAATTCGGCTAAAAATAATAATAATAAAAATAATTTCAAAAATGTAATTATTAGAGAAACATTGATGTATAATATAGTAGAATGAAAATGAGAATTTAATGCCACGAATCTCATTCATTTCAAGAAAAAGAAGTGTAAGAATGATGATATATAAGTATATGAAATAAAAGGCTTTTCCACTTCGACCCCCACTAGTCCATCCCACAAGCTCAGAAAAAAAAAAAAAAAAGGCCAAATCGTAGGCATTTACTATAGATTCTGGGAGGCACAGATCCAGTCAATTATGGTCCAATGCTGCCGGGCAAGGCCCACTCAACCCGGCCCGTTAGCATCATGTAGGTACATCTGAAGCAAAATTATAATTCACGTAACACATGACTTATATCTCATAGTCTAAAGTTACATAATTTTTCTAGACGGCCTATGCGCCCTCCTGCTCTCGAATTCTTCCGTGCATTTTTTTTGCTCATGCTCTCATTTTTAGATGACTTAAATATTTTTTATATTTCTGCTCCTACTCTCACCAAATAAAGATTACTTCTTACAGCGGTGGAATATGAGTGAGCCAAATGCGTCATAAATTTCCAAGTGTGGTAAGGTATTTGAGATCATAGGATGGAAATTGAGTTTTAATCTTCGAATCAGAACTTATTTTGAAATTTGGACAAAGACTTTACTAGTCGAACTATTCGAATAATCAGAAATATAGAAAAAATATACATATTATTTATATATTTTTAAAACTACATGTAATTTATATATTCATGTTAAGGTTGGATGATTTGTTCTCTGGAGGACATTTATTTACCTAATTTATAACACCGTTGTTTTAAAAGTTTGAGGTAAAATTATTCTCCAATAATTGGCGTTAATTTAAATTTAGAAATAAATTGAAGAAGAATATTATATTTTGTCTGGTATGGACTAATCCCTTAGGCGGACAAATCCGCCAAAGTCCCACCCCTATTTAAATGTACCTGGGGATAATTTGCCATCCTTATATAATTTATTTTTTGTGAAAAGTGTTTCTTTTCATATAGGTTTTTTAGTCCCACCCCTATTTAAATGTACCTGGGGATAATTTGCCATCCTTATATAATTTATTTTTTGTGAAAAGTGTTTCTTTTCATATAGGTTTTTTTAGTTAAGTTTCAATTTTCATCGAAAGGAAAATACTACTTAGACCTATTTCTTATACTGAGGAGCATAAATAAAAATCTGGTCAGCTACACTCGGTTTAGGAAATCCGTCTAAGTAGCATTACTCAAAGTCTCACCAAAGCATTACTGCAGATGCAAGAGATAGCCTCACAAATCCCAACAGATTCTGAAACGCTTTCCACGAAAACCATGACCATGATCGACCACAGGCTCCACTAAATATATAAAGGAGCTGAGCCACCACTATGAACCACCACGACGCGTCAAGCACCACCGCTGCACCCACTATACCCCACCGCAACTTCAGCATCAACAGCCAGCTGAAGAAAATGTGCAAAACCAAAGCCACTCCAGTTATTACGGCCATCACCATCATCTTGCTTTGGGCCTGCAAGAACTTGGCCATCGGAAAGTTGGCCGCGTAGGCGTACAGCTGCGGAATCATCCACAGCGCCATAGCCCCAGCCGCCTCGGATATCTCACTGGTCTGCCCGATGAGTTTCAGACATTGGGCCGCGAAGATGTAGAAGAACATGATAAAAAAGGCTGTGATGGTGAGGATGATCCATGACCTTTGCATGTAGACACCAAGCATGTCCACTTGCGATGCTCCAAACGCTTGTCCACATAGAGTCTCTAGTGCACTCCCCATTCCCAACTGTACATTCCATGCATATATTAAGTTAATTTCACAAAATAATACATCTACATATAATAAGATCTCTTCATCATCGACCATGGAAACATAACAATCATAGGTTACCATATTTGCTGAAGATAAATTTTTTACTTACCGACGAGTAAGAGATTATTTTTTTTTGTATATTCTATAATATATATATATATATATATATCTTGGTTCGCCGTATTATCTGATGCGTGATTCGTATCGGCCAATTTACACTGATTTTGTCCGAATTCCTTAAACCGTGCGTGACTAACTACCATATATATTGGACACTATATTTATAGACACAAATATTTTTATATTGTTATTTTTCGATCTCATAAACTAAAATTATTAGAGAATTGTGCGTTATCAATGTATTAGCAAGCTCTGACACTCTTTTTTCATGTGTTAGCTCTGTCTTGCACGTGACCGATAAAACTGATGAACCGTTATTTAAATAAATAAAAAACATGTAGTCTTGCACCCGAAAACAATAAAGCAATTTGGTCCAAAGTTGGACCAAAAGTAAACAAAAATACTGGCAACAAATCACTCGACGAAAATGAAAACAAACACGCCCAACTGCAGCCCCCACCCAAGAACCCAAATCCTGCTGAAACAACATAGCCATTCGTTACGGATAGGTTGTATCCCTTATGAGTGGATATCACTGCAGCTTGTAATAATTATTTATTTATTTATTTATTTTTATCCTCGCAAACTATAAGATGGAGATTCGAGTATATCTACTCGGGAAACTGGATGCTCTATCAAACAGGTCACTGAATAGTGCCCGGTGCTAATAACTTAATCAACAAAAACAGACCAAATATCAAAACAGTGTTAACCTTGTTAGTCTGCTGCTGTTCCATAGTTTGTATTGCTCGTCCAAGTTTGAGGGGAAAAAAACAAACAAACAAAACATCTATAGACTTTTTCAAGGCTGTGGGATTGTGTTCCAAATCAGTTACACCGCAATCCACTTTGTCCAAATCAGTTACACCGCAATCGCGATCTATACCGCGACTGTAATTGATATTGCGAATTATTGAAAAACAAATTCAGCAATTTCAACGCCATGAAGAGGATGGTAGACTTTCACTTACATGACATTGGAGTTAAAATCCCCTTGCAACCAACTTTTATAGAGAAATTTTTAGATATAGGAGACAAGAATACTACATATGTCTTGTGGTAGATTGCGGAGTGGTTTAAGAGGCCCGACACCACAATAGTCAATCAAAAAAGAAAAAAAGAAAAAAATTCTAAATGCATGTATAAAATTTATACCATGACACCAAAAGAGAATCCGGAGATGACGGAATTCTGGATGGAAACAGCGGCCAGCTCGAGAGTTCCAATGTGGCCGGCGAAGATCTGAGTGACGAAATTCAGGGAGTATTGACCAAGGGATATGAAGATGGCCGGAGCGGCGAGGTACCAAAGCTTTCTGGACTCAACCAAGAATTCTCTGAAGAAAACTTGAATTCCTGAAATAGGTGGTATGTCATTGGCACCATCAGTGAAGGATGAAGCAGAAGAGTTATTTGGTGGTCTCACATGGCCTTGGAGATGGTTTGGTGACAATGGCTGATTATTGTTGTCCATGGTAGAGAGAGAAAAAAAGAGAGAGTGAGGAGAGAGAGATTTGGCTCTTGTATTTTTTTATTGATGCAGATCAGTATTTATATGCTCCTCTTCAAAACAACTACATAAAGCAAAATGATAAACCTTCAAAATCAGTCCTACGTGAGAATTAAATCATTTGGTTAAAATTAATTAAATCAATGTTTATTAAAAGTATTTAGCTATGTGATTTATGCGCTTGGGTTTTAATAATCTAACCTACTAGCTAGCTAGTTAAAAATATTCAGGTAGTTTTCGGGAAATGGTAAAAATACTTTAATTAAAAGACCTAACACTATTTTCTCTAAGATTTAGACAAATTATACACGGGTTATTGCTTTAACCTCCCTTAAAACAGTTTTTAGTGACTTCGTGTGTGAAAAGTCGATAATGCCCTTATATTATAATAAGATATTATATTGTGTTTTATATAAGAGGGGGGCAAAATTGTCATTTGGTCAAACAGGTTTGCCTATAAATAAAAACACTAAGAGTGTGATCGAGCACACGCGCTACGAAACGTCTGGATAATTTATCCAAAAATAAATAAATAAAATAAATGGAACTTGTCTTCATCATCAAATCACATAAAATATGATGAATAATTACAGCTGGAGTTCCTTCCCAATTTTTATAATGTATGCGTCAAGATAAAGATTTGTAACCAACGCGTGACATGTGATTAACTCATGTGGACTAACTAGCTTTGTTTGACAGAAGTTTTGAACTTGATTTGTCATAAGCAACAGACATACAGGTGGATAATGGCAGTTGCTTTAGAAGGAAAGTTTCAAAAGGTGATGTTTTAAAAGAATTAGTCAAGAACACATTACATGAACACACACCTCCTTTAACCTCCTTTAAAGGAGGTGTGTGTTCATGTCATGTGTTTTTGACATACTAGACATAGAATTAGGCATAGGTTTTTTTAATCAATCAATCGAATTACTCTTTAGAGAAATATTAGACATCTAAGTCAACATATAAAAAGAGAGATCTATGTTCGCTGATAAAAATAGAAAGTGTTCTTTTTTCATTGATTAAATTAAAAAGAAAAAACATGAAGGAATAAGTAAAAGAAAGAAGTCGGCATAAATTTTAATCCATCAATGGGATCACTTTTTTAAAAATACAAGACATCTGCGTCATATAAATAAAAAGATCTATTCGCCCAAAAGAAAAAAAAAATGTGAAAGCGTTTGCTAAAAAATAGACTTGGCATAAATTTTAGGGTTTATTTCAGTTACACCCTCTAAACTTTGTTCAATCTTCACGTTTACAAAAATTCAGTCAAACTCCAAATATTGTTGACAAACAAAAACAAATAAATAAATGTAATAACTAATTTACCCCCTTGTCATTTTCGTAAATACACTGACCAAACAATCTGTTTTATAACTCCCAACAAGGTTAGCTTTATCTATTGAACCAAACAGTTCCTCCTCCCAACAAGGTTAGCTTTAACCAAACAGTCACTCACTGCTAATCTTCTCTCATCCCTCATAACTCACATTATGGTGGTCTCGCTTCTACCTCCGCCGCCGATCACCACCACCTCCTATGGAGGACCTTTTTCTAGCTTTTGGATTTTCCTCCAAATTAATCTCAATCGCCCACCAATCACAATCCCAATTTCTATAAATCTGATCAATTTTTATTTTTAGACTTTGTCGGTGCCCTACATTGGGAGATTTGTGATGATTTGTGATTTGTTCAATCGATTGTATTCTAGAGAGAGAAAGGAGTGAGTTAAGATGACTCAGTAGATTGTACTTCGATCGCCGTCGCTGAACAGGCGTAATCCCCTTACTGGCGAGCAAGTCCACGTCGTCGAATTGCTCAGGCAGCGGGAACGTGCGATTCGCGGAGGTCCTTGGTGGGACGACGACGGATTGTGCGGCCGTGTGCTGCTGCTACCCGTGCGGGATCGTTAACTTTCTCGTGTTGGCTGTCTACAGGCTGCCGGCGGGGATTTGCCCACTCCATTCTTTCCGGCAAATCAGATGCTATTACTCCAATACTTAATTTGTTGGCATAACCAATCTATACAATCAATATATATATATATATATTCATCAGATCTAGAATTTGAATAATTTAGATGTGGATTTGTCACCTAATATATATTGGCCGGCTTCTTCATAAAGCATTGAAGATCACGCATGTAAGGTCCTGAAACATTCCTCTTATATTTTTAACTAAAAAAAACATTCCTCTTATATATATTTCAGCATAGAACATATATATACAATCAATATATATATTCATCAGATCTAGAATTTGAATAATTTAGATGTGGATTTGTCACCTAATATATATTGGCCGGCTTCTTCTTAAAGCATTGAAGATCACGCATGTGAAGTCTGCAACATTCCTCTTATATTTTTAACTTAAAAAAAACATTCCTCTTATATATATTTAAGCATAGAATATATATATATATATATATAGCTTAATTTTACAGAAGACTCAAGATAAAGAAAAGAAATCTGACACTAATGAGTCACTCCACCCAAAACTGGTAAAAATTTAATCTGAAGCCACACATAATATGTAGCCAAACATAAAATTTAATTTGGGGATTTAAAGATGGTATATAGTCAATTTGTAGCCAAACATAGCAGTTGAGGGGTAATATAGGTATTAAAATTTAATTTTTTGCTAATATGGTAAAAAGTGTCTCTAACCAGCTTTGACTGTTGACTGTTGACCGAGAGAGAAAATTGATATGTATCAGAAAAAGTAAGAGTTTTGACTAAATTTTTGTAAACGTGAGATTTGCTTACAAATTGAACAAAGTACGAGGGATATAACTGAAGTTAACCCTACATTTTAATCTTTCATTTGCATCACTCTTTGGAGAAATACAAGACATCCACACAAATAAAGAGATTTATCCATACATAAAAAAAAAATAAAAAAATAAAATAAAATAAAAACCATGAAGGATTACGTAAAGGATAGAACTTGGCATAAATTTTAATTCATCAATTCGGTCACATCTTCGAGAAATAAGGCACCTATGTTGTACAAATAAAGAGATCTATTCATTGATTATAAAATAATAATACTAATAAGTGAACGAATACATGGAAAGATGAGAATTTGGATTTGATTTTTAAGTGGGTTGTCTCTGTGGCTATAGCTGACAAATCTTTGAAGAAGAGGTCCTCACCATTAGATAATTTAGGGTTAGTTTAGTTTGTAATTCTGAAAATAATTTTCTGTTTGTAAAGACCTAAAAATTAGAAATTTACATAAAAATCCTGCTTGGTTCAGTTTTCTTAAAACTATTTTCTAAAAATTCAGTTATAAAAAAGTTCAGAAAACTATCTTTTATAATTATCTGAAAACAGTTTTATATTTTTTTAGTTCTTGAGAACTGCTTTCAGAATTACAAACTAAGCAGACCCTAGTTTTTTTTAGGATAAATATCTTTCCCGTGCTAACAACGGCATTATTTATCTAACTTTGTTGAAATGAATTATCAAATAAGACTACATATACATTAATTTCTTCTAAAAACCAGAGTTGTCTCAAATGAGCTCTTGCCCATAAAGGCATGGATTAAGGATTCTCATATGACAAATTCATAACTTAATGGTTGAAAGTGTCCAAATGAAAGTAAATAGATTTGTTTAGTCTGTAATTCTAAAAACAGTTCTCAAGAACTCATAAAACTATTTTTAAATAATTATAAAAGACAGTTATTTTAAAATAGACATTTTTATAACTGAGTTTTCATAAAACAGTTAAAGGTGTGAGTTCTTAATTTGTGAAAGTGTTTAAATAAAAGTATATGAACTTGCTTAGTTTGTAATTCTGAAAACAGACTGTTATTAAAGAATTAGAAAAGATAGTTATTTGAAAATAGGCATTTTTATAACTGAATCTTCATAAAACTGGACCAAACGGAACTTTTGTATAGTTTTTTTGACTTTCAATTATATGAAAACAGACCAAGCAAGCCCTATATTTCTCTTCCACTTGAACATTAACTTTTAATGTTAGGTGTTAGTCTTATCTTGAATTCTAATTGCCTCCATTATTTTTCCCTCTCCATTCTAGTGCAAAGACTAGTTGCATTATTTGGTTCTTTCAATGGATCAAAAGATGAATTTGAGAAAAAATGTCCCCTTCACTTTGTCCAAGTTTCATTTTTCGATCAACTCACACAAATCCTGATTGGTGACGAGTTGAGTCCTACTAGATCGACCCACCATAAATTGTATGCACGTCAACGAGCATGAAGTATACATATCATATATGAAAATGCTTTTGTGACACCTACTACCACTCATCAAAGTTTCAAAGGAAAAAGAAAAAAACGACACATGAGATCGATTGAGTCCTACTAGACTTGCTTGGTGGTGCAAACGCACCCACAATAAATTGATGTCTACTAGCACTCATCAAAGGAAAAGGAAAAGGAAAAGGAGAAAGGAAAATTCCTGAGATAAACAATCAATTTTTCTTTTTTGATAATCTAGTTTTCAAACACAGTTCCAAAAAGAAAAGAAAAATAAACTCTAGTTGTCAATAAGATATACCATGGTTGTTTGCTAGAAAAGAAGGAAGAAACAATCTTTTCTTCATTTGGGAGAGAGAATATAAGGAGGGAAGAGAAAAGATGATGAATAAATCATCCTTCCTGCTGCACAAATTTTATTCTTTTTTATAAAATAGAGTATCAAATTTTGTATTAAATTTTCTCCGATTCTAAATTCAAAACGTCAATTCGAAACTCCTAAATAGAATTCAAAACGTCAATTCAAAACGTCAATTCAAATTTGTTTTGAAACAGGGGAGTAATCTTATAATTTACTCATTTCAAGTAAGAAAATGGTGTGTGTGGCAATATAAGCATCTATAGGTAGAGAAAAATTTTAAAAAAGAAAGGGAAATAAAACCAGTAACGTTGATGTTTTTGGCCGCCACTTTGAACAGCTAATAAAAGTTCACCCTTATACTTTTTCCAATAAGAAAAATTTTGATGTTGACACTTGTGCTGCAATAATTAAGCCTATTTTTAGTATACGCAA